GTTTCCATATCCCTAAAAGTATAAAAAGCTAATTCTAAAGAAAATTTTAGAATGAATATAGATCAAAACTTCAACTTCAACAAATTATTGCTTGTATTGAATTTTGTTACGAGCTACAGTCTTTTGAGATTTTTTTTAATTTGTGTATTGACCTTTGTTGTCAATGTATTTTTTTGTCATGTACCAGCTCTTGGAATGAATGTCATGATCTGTTAAGAAACAATGGACAAACAACAGGTCCAAAGGTTTTTTAAGAGTTAACCCTGGATTGAGCTTTGAGCAGCCTGGCCCAGGTTTCAAAGGATGCTACATGACTGATTTTCTGTCCCCCTTTGAAAACTCCTGTATCTGCTCCTGGAGAGATGAACAGAAAAGAAGAATTTCTAAAAGATACCAGTGTTCTCTTTGAAGACCCTTAAGCAATGGAACATCTGAAGTAGCCCTTCACAGTTTTGCAAGATCTTATCTGATTGGTTTACTAGCTATTTGTTGAAAAAAAAAAGAACAATAGGATTTAAGAACGAGGAAACAATGAGCATTGTTTTATTCCTCCAATCACAAGAAACCTTACAAACTTGCGGAGGATTACAGTACATGTATGTGTGCACTGGAGAACTAGGTAGGGTACCCATGGACCCAATGAACCTCCCACTCCCCCTGGATCCATCAATCACATATCACAAGAATAGTATTTTCAACATTTAAGATTACTCTGTTCTCTTGTTTGTATTGGATTTTTCATAAATTTGGCGGGATCGGGAATACATGGGGAAAATTAAAGGGATTTTCGGGATAATTTATAGTAAAATTAGCTAGGGTTGGAAAATGAAAACTAAAGATAAACAAAGAAAACGTTTTACCCTGTGTTGATCCAATGCGATCGACCTCATCGGGATCTACCGTTCCAGCAGTTCTATCAACTTCTGCATTTTCTGACGTTTCGGCGTTTCTGTCAACAGTTCCGTCATCCATAACGTGCTTCAGCCGAAACGCCGCGAGGAGAACTATAACTATATGTTGTTATTAGTACCTATAAACAAAACAAAATTATATTTAGCTTATTTACATTTATCAAATTATCTATTAATCTCACGCATTTCAACAAAAGTGATCMATGTAACAATTTATAAATGTTTTGCATATCATCGGTGGTCCAACGTTCAGCTCAGCTCATTTTGATTTGACGTTAGTTATAAGGTTATGTACTTAGATGATACTAATAAGCTACTTGGAGACATGTTTTACAATTCTAGAATTATTCAGTCTTACCTTCAACTACTTAAGCGCTTCGCAAAATTGATTTATCCAACAAAAAACACTTTTGATAGCAAAGAAGACAACATTTCGACATCCTTTCGGACACGCGTACTATAGCTCGTGTTCTGAGAATTGCTATGCAGCCAGGCCAGGTTCTTTGATTGGTGGGAATTTCCCGCGAAAAAATWTTACGAGGGTTGTCACGCGATTGTTTCAATTAATCAAACATAAAAAAAAGAAGCGTGAAAGAATGAAAAGAAAATTCCAATCGCCAAATTAGTCTGATACTTTATGAAAATTTAGATGATTCGCAAAATGAAACCATTTTAAAGGTTTAAAATTCGACTTTTTTCTATAAATTAGCGCAACTTTAAAAAGTTTATTGAATTTTTGAAAGAAATCAATTTAACCCTCGATGTACAAAAATTAGTCATAAAGATAGAAAGAAAGAAATCAAGAAATTTCTTAAATAGACGAGAAAAAAACTTAGAAACGTATTTTTAACAGGAATGACCCTCATTGTTTTTCTTTTATGTCCTAGATTTGTTACTAAAATATAGTCACTTAACTTCAATATCGGTTTCGTTCAAGCTAAAACATAGTTAATTATGGCTAAAATGAATAAATTGTAGTGCGTAAAGCACAAATTACGTAATTAAAACAATTAATGAGGGTTAAGAGTAAAACGAAAATGTCGCGAAACAGCGCGTGACAAGCGTAGACGTGACAATTCCAAAATCATGTGATCCTGGTCGGTCTACAGATTTATTTTAAAACAATATGGCGTCTAGAGAAAAAGTAGGTAACTCGGTGTCTGAGTTCTTGCAAGATATGTCCGAGTACGAGTTAACGTGCCCAATTTGCTTCGAAGAATTCAAAGAACCTAAATCACTCCCAAACTGCGCTCACAGTGTGTGCTTGCAGTGCCTTGAAAAAATGTCTGAAAGGAGCTCAAATATCTTTGAATGTCCTGTCTGCCGAGTCGAGTCTCCTCTTCCAATGGACGGAGTTAAAGCATGGCCWACAAATAGTCGTATTGTAAGACTCATGGATCGTTTTCCGGGAAGACAGGATAAGTTAGCAATCAAAAATGCTTCAGAGAGATGCAAAATGGCGTGTGAGGCGACGTCGAGACGAGAAGAACAACACAAAGTTATGTCTGACAGAATGAAGAAAGAGGTCGAAGACAAAGCTCAAAAGCTAGTTGAGTTTATACGMGACCAAGAACGGTCGCTGTTGGATATGATTGACGACGTCCTTATGTCAGAATATTGTGGGAAGGATGAATTACAACGACAAGCAGCGACTTTGACGGGAAAAGCGGCCAATATCATCGAAAGAGGAGATGTCTACGAGATTGTTGATGCAAAAGAGACACTCGTCTCTCAGCTAGATCAAATAACTCGAGATTTGCAACCTTCATTTGACGGAARCTTTACAGACCTCTTGCGCAAAAAACTCCTGGATGAAAAACAGTTAGAGTCAGCTGTGCCATGCTCTAAATWCGCTTCAAATAACAATGTTGGCCATYTTGACCCCAAATTTAATCGAACCATCACTAAAAGCCAAGAGCCCGACAGATTTTACCCATTCGACCTAGCAACTACAAGCACAGGCAACCTTGTTGTTCTAGATAGTAGATTTCAKAATGTAACYATATTTRATGTTGATGGAACCTTGTCAAGTCAATTCAAAGTCGGMTTAGATGACCTTTGGGGTTTGACTGTGCCAGTAAACACTGATGAAATCATCATTGCTTGTAATCGTACCTCAGATGATGCTGGCATCTGTGGTTATCTGGTGTACTTTGACATCCAAGGTAATTTCATAAAGCGGGAAACTATTGATGAGTTTAAAGATACTTTTCTAACTGGTATCTCACTGGACGACGACAACAACAATCTGATTGTCACCTCTGGGGTTTTCCCAGACAAGAATGGTCATTTCACAAAAGGKGGACTTATTGTTTTATCTCAAAGTCTCGAGGTGAAATTTTCAACTTTTGGTAGTGAGAATCAGAGCAATATGAGAAAGGCTATCCATTATCAGGAAAAGTACTACTGTACTCAATTGATTGATCCTGGCAAGGAAGGCTGTGTTAAAGTCTTTGATAAAGATGGTAGACTGTTGCAAGAATTTGGGCATTCAGAGCTGTGCGATCCTCATGGTATTATYGTAGACTCTAACACGTCACGAATYCTTGTATGTGACAGACTACTTAAYGCWGTTTTRGTRTTCAATACTGAAGGTACTTGCTTAACGAGATTTGAAACCAAAAACGATCCMGTGCAGATCATCATGTCAACTGTTARTAAGGACATTATGGTTGCTTGTTATCTTGGTTTATGTATCCAAGTTGTCTCTTATAAATGGTTCTCTGAGGTCAATGATAARTCTGTTCAAGCATTAAAATGGATTGCTTAGGTTAAACAAGCTATAGTGTTGGCAGATTTTTTGTTAAACACTAAGTTTCAAATTTCAAATCCATTACAGGCACTTATAGCCTTGTTCCTACATAGGATAGAAAACCATAGAATAACCACAGATTCGAGGTTAAGCCCACTTTGAAATTTTGAGAATACTCCATTTTTGAATTCAAAGGGAATAACTACTATTTTATTTGACAGCAGATTGATTCTCTTAGACCAAGAGCTTACAAACACAAAAGAAAGCACAAGAAAATGTTGTACAATAAGCACTAACAATTTACATTTTTGCCGAGACGAGGCTAACAGGGTAATTCTCAACTTGGAGAAAATGCAAATTTTCAAGGTTGTTGTTCGCTTTGAATTCGAAAATGGAGTATACTCAGTAGTCTTCTTCACATATTGTGTCACTATGAATGGTAGCCACGTCTTTGCATTGGAGAAGTGAGACTACAATAGTAGAAAACCACATGCAAAACCAACATTTGTAGCTGTATGAGAAGACTTATCCATGTCCACTGGTCATCTCACTTTGATGTAAAGGCATGGTTACCTTTCAAACTGATACAGGGAACGTTATGGACTGTAAGTGGACCATCCAAGATGGCTTTTGATTAAGAATGAAGATTAATTCTTCAATGTCTATGTTCTTGACTCTGTGGGACGGTATAGTCATTATGAAAACACGGAAACTCCTTTGGAACAAAGTCCAAATGAATGAACAATTAGTTTCAATACACTATCTTTAGTTTTCAACTTTTTTTGAAATAGCTGTATAAAGTACAAACAATACTGCAAATGTGCAACATAAATACTTCTAAATACTTCTGAATTATCCTAAGTCTATTGTTTACAAGCACTATTTTATATAGTAGTAAATAGTGCAAAGTGTTGAACATATTATTTAGAGGGTATACATGTAGAGTCTATTATGGTGTAGAATTGTTAATAATTCTATTGGATGAATAAAGTGGGTTAATTGTTCAGAACATTTTGTCTCTGTTGTGCGGGACATTCAAGTTAACACGGGGTCCAATAGGAATGATGTTGCCCTAAACAGAAAAACACGAAAAAATTAGCTGTTATGATCAGGATACTATAAAGTGTCAGGTTCAAGATGTGTTCACACAGGTTATCAGGTTCAAAGCCTGGACACAAGGCCTGCACCTACTGGTATATACCGTATTTACCCGTGTATAAGCCGCTCTCGTAGATAAGCCGCACCCCGAGTTTTATTGGGGACGTTTTGAGGGGGAAAAAAGACAGAAAATAAACCTGAAAATTTCTCTTTTTGATCGCCACTTGCGAACACAACTTTCTTTGGTTTTAAAGTGCTTTTCTGCTGCTCGATTTCTGTGATCCAAATTAGCATCGCGTTACCACAACAACTCCAAGACAAAACGATTCAAAATGCTCTCTGTTCATTGGCTCAATAACCACACACTTTTCAGTGAATTATTGACTGGTGTTTCTCAGAGATAGATTTTTGGAGAATTTATAGTAATACTGAGAAGTTTGGATTAAAATATCTGTTCTCGCCATCCTGTCTGCAGTAAGTAGCACCGTGAATGCCAATTTATGCAAATTAGTTTTTATCAGGCATTTTTACGAGTCTTCTCGTAGATAAGCCGCATCCCCGATTTGGGAACAATTTTTTTGGAAAAAAAGTGTGGCTTATACATGGGTAAATACGGTAATAATTGTACGTTACTGATATTTTTCACATATTTAGTACCAAAACTTTAGCACCAAGGATAAAGCAGTGCCTTCACACTTCTCACTATGTGAACTTACATAAACACCAGCCTTGATTTCATCAAAGTTGATGGTGTCTTTGACATTCCCAGTCTGATAAATGTCACACAGCCATCCAAACAGATTGGGRTAGTCTTGGATTCTTTTAATATTACACTATTAATTAAAAATGTGAAAATGTTAGTAAAAATCAAAAGCCAACAGCTTTTTGGGACACATTTATAAGTGGAGCTATTTTGACCTGTTTTTGAACTATTGATCACAGAATTAAAGTTGTTGTAGTGGATAATTCAATATAGAGGATTTTATCAGTTGACCAWTAATCTGCTATCAGAGTTGTACTAAGCTCTGACTTGGTTATACAGGAGTACAGTACAGTATGAAYCACTAGTTTTTAGCTCGAAGATTGCAAAGAAATCAAAGGGTTTTTTCTTTTAAGAACAACATTTATTTAGACTAAACAAACCTTAAATGCTCCATAGTATGCAGCATCAAAGCGCACAATGGTGACAAACAAACGGACGTCAGCTTCTGTCATCTTGTTGCCTGCAATATATCGATGCTTTGACAGCAATGACTCTGCCTATAACAATAATAAGCATAAACTTTTRGTGACAACATGAATTACATGGCAGATTGCCCTTTCCCTTCTCCACCTCTTCTTCTTCTTCTCTCCCCCTTGTTAAGTACCAGTTCCAGTTCCAGAATGCTACAAATGGGGGTAACTCATCAAGAATTAAGAAATATCAAATGAATAGATTTAGGTACCGGTATGCAGAAAATGAAAACTTTCTATTAATTTCTTGTTGGCATTATTTCTATATTCCTGAACCCTAAAAAAGGGGGATGATGAGCCACACTTATCACCTCCCTTAGCTTGGATCCTCCYTTGGATTACAAGTACATGGAAAAGTGGGATCTATTTGATGTTGAATAAAAACAAAGTGCTCATAGATAAAGATACCTTGTCCAAGCCTTCAAATACCATCTTCACATATTTGTTGTAGCTTTCTTGATTGGTTGCCTTGCCAGCTTGAAAGGTTGCAGTGTTGAGATAACTAGAAATCAAAAGTGTTAATGAYAATGGCTGGCCCAGAGATGGATTGTTACAAACAATTGTGTTCCCTGAGGCATCTTTATGAAAGGTATCTGTGCCTTAGCATCGAAGCGAGACAACCATCGAGCGTGCAATCATGATAGAAACCAATAATTAACAAGACGTATCTATAATTGCACACTCAACAGTTGTCTTGCTTCAATGTAATGGCACGGTTACCTTTCAAGATGGCAAGATAACCGTGAAGGAGACCATTGCCAAAACACTTACGGTGCTACCCAGCTGTTGATTTCTTCAATTTGATCCTTCATGTCATCAGGCAAAAGATCCAAGTTTCTTTGTTCTTCCGTAGGACAAAACGCATTGAATTCCTTGTTGAACATTCTCATGATGTCAATGGATTCACTATTAACAGCAGTTTTCTTCTTTTTGTCCCAGAGAAGAGGAACAGAAACAGAACCAGAATAGTTTGGGTTGGCTTTGCAGTAGACCTCTTTTAGGTAGGTACATCCGTTAACTGTATCCTCATCACAGCCRGGTTTCTGGGGGTTGAATTTCCATCCCTCACCTGTTGCTGGCTTCACAGAATCAAGAACACAAACTGAAATAACATCRTCAAGTCCTTTGAGCTTGAGAGCTGTCAAAGCTCGGCCTGCAAATGGACACACCATGGCAACGTAAAGGTGGTAGCGGTCCTTTTCTGGCTGGAAGTCTGTAGAGCCATCAGCCTTCACCCAGTTGAAAAAACCTGTTGAGATTTTGCACGTCAAAATACAATGTTTTGCATCTACAGTCATATACTCTGACCCCGAGATAACAATTAATGTTAGTAATCATGAAAAACACTTACCTTTCTTTTTTCTGCTGTGTGGGACATTCAAGTCAACTCGTGGTCCACTTGGAACAATCTCACCAGTCTATTAAAATGTTATGCAATTATAATAACCATTCATTCATCTCCAATGTCAGAGTATAGTGCATGTTATAGCATAT